CTATAAAATAAATCAGTTAAGACTTAAACATTCTGCAGCCAAATCAGTGGTCACTGGAGGTGGGGGGAGGATTACAAAGGGGCACGAGGAAACTGAAGGGGTTGATGGGCATTTTCACTCTCTTGATTGTGGTGATGAGTTCATAAGTGTGTAAAGATATGTCAAAACTCATCAAAATGTACACTTTTGATACGAAATGTGGTTTATCATATATCAATTATGCTTCAGTAAGGCAGTTTTAAAACATAACTTCTGCACCCTGTGGTACAGCTAGTATTGAAGTGGCCAAGTGCTCCGTCATCACCCAAAGTCCTAGTCTGATCTCCCAGACTTCTGTCAAGACTCACACAAACTTGGGTCATGGGTCCAGATGCCTGTGGGCATTTACAGTGATGGCAGACAGAGGGGTGTCTTTGATGGGAAAAGGGAGTTGCTTCTGTATTACTCTGTTTTGATTCTTTTCTGGGCCAGCTTGTATCAGCAACTGTGAACTGCTTCCTTTCAATAGTTTGTTATTATCATGTGAGTTTCCTCTTTTTAATAAAAAATTTTAATACAAAATGAGCACATTTATTGTAAACATTCAAAAATTGAAGCAAAAATACTCCTAATCCATTTCCCAGATGAAATGTTGACAATTTGATGTACATCCTTCCAGACTTTATAGAGAGGTCTGTATGTGTGCGCGTGCACGTGCGCCCACCATGCATGTGTGTTTATATTACTTTTATTACTTTATATTACGTTTACAAAAACAAGATCACATTGCACATTATTATCCTGCAACTTGCTTTTTATTTTTTCCTCTAAAAAGTATCATGGGCGTCCTTCCATGTCAATAAGTACACACCTATGCCTGCCTCCCTCCCTTCCTCCCTTTCTTCCTTCTTTCTCTCCCCCTCCCCCTCCTCCCTCTCCCCCTTCTACCTGTCTTCCTGGTAGGAAGTCTCCTCCCCCTCCCCCTCCTCTTCCTCCTTCATTTTTTGTTAGTTTTGGCTTGAGGCCTCTTTAAGGAAAAAGCATCACAATAGGAATTCATAATTATCGTGCACCTATGCGCCAGGCACCATCTGGTTAATTATCAGGGAACTGGCAGAAATTGCCAATGACATTGCTGTAGCATTGAAGCCATGGCATACGTAAAAAGCTTACTTCTTGGTACACAGTAGGTCCTCAATATTTAAAAAAAGTAAGATTGGAAGGTTAGCTCCCTATTCTGGGAGAGTATTCAAAGATGAAATATTCACAAACATTTCATTTTAAAGCCTGTGACCAGCAGGGGAAGAGAGGAGAAGCAATGTCTAATTTGCTGCCGTTGCTGAAGTTGGGAAAGAGGAATTGGAATTGAGGTTTTTAAAGGAGGCCAGTTTTTTGTTTTTTGTTTTGAAAACCAATTGGGTCCTCTTGAGAAAGTCAGAAAATAACTTAAATCCTTCCGAATCGAGGTGTAGAGTCCTGTCACTGGAGGGCCGGGTGAGCAAACATCAACCCTAGAGCAGAGGCTGTGGGCAGGCAAGGCAGCAAGGCCTGCAGGTCTGTTTATTTGCACTTTGCAGTGCTTGTAAATTGTTTTCCTTGATTGCCAGCGTCTGAAAAAGCAGATTTCGCATAAGAACCTCAGTTTCTGGCCTCTCTGGATGAATAGGAGGATGCGGCCACCCCAGGCCCTCCTTGCCTCTCTGGGGGTTCAGATGAGGCACTGGTCTCCGCCTCTGTTCAGTGTTTTTTGCTCGCTGAGACCGTCTTGCTGTCCACTGTGATCATCTGAGTTGTAACCTCTGCTGTAGAATTTACTGCTTATTTTTGCTTCGGTGTGAGATGGAAGTGATAGCCAGTTTTGTTTTGTTTGTTCATGTGAAAAATACAGCACATCAAGCACTATAAAATACCATCTGACTGTTTTCCCTCCAAATTTGAGGAGAACCTTTATTATACTTCAGGAAAGCGGAGAGATCTGGCTAAAATATAGAAACTGTTTCACTGTGTGGAAATCACCCTTGTGAAGGATATGAGGCATATATTTAACCTCAAGAAATTGATGATTTTTAGTGGGCATTGTGAGGTTAATCTGAAGTAGAAGGAAAAATTGAAGTTGTTTTTTTTTTTTTTTTTTTTTTTTCTCAGCGGCCATGGCTCACGGGCCCAGCCACTCCGCGGCACGTGGGGTCCTCCCGGACCGGGGCACGAACCCGTGTCCCCTGCATCGGCAGGCGGACCCTCAACCACTGCGCCACCAGGGAAGCCCAAAATTGAAGTTTTTAATAAAATCCATTTATATTGACCATAATTTTAAATGAATGACTACAAATGCATCTGTTAACACTGTAAGTCAGCAAAAAGTTTTATTAAAACCACTTTGCAAAAAATCATAATGCAATTCTGAACTTCATTCCTGTGTATACATAGTTGTGACAGAATTGTGTCTAAAATGACACTGCAATAAGCAGCTTTGAACATGTTCTTTTCTTATTTTTAATTCTTTCCTTAGCATGAGTTTCTAGAGCGGGTTACTGGACCAGAGCATATTTTATGGTTCTTGGTTTGTTTTGCCAAGTTATTCTAAAAAAAGATGTAATTAATTTTCACTATCTCTAGCAAGATATGAAGGTGCCTAGTTTTTCTTTCTTCCCAAAACTCTCCCAGGAATGGGTTTTTGTAATTTTTATTTATTTGTGTAAAAACTATTAAATGGGATTGTGTATCTTGAAACTAATTAAAATTTAGATGTTTGTATCAGTTAGCTGTTGTCATATAATAAACCATCCCCAAATTTAGTGGCTTAAACAAAAGCCATTTATTATTTCTCACAAGTCTATAGGTTCTCAGGACTGTTCTGCTGATCTGTGATGGCTGCATCTGATCTTGGCAGGGTTTGCTCATGTGTCAGCCATCAATTGGTGGGTTGGCTGGGGGCTGGCTGGTCTAGGATAGCTCATCTGTCACAAGAGGGCTTTTTCATGTGGCCGTTCATCCTCAAGCAGGCTAGCCTAGGATTGTCCTCATGGTATGGCAGGATTCCAGGAGAGTGAGGGCCACTTGACACCTCGTCTTAGAACTGGCACTTGGACACTTCTGCCACATTCTGTTAGGGAAAAAAAAAGGCCGTCTCAAATTCAAGGGCTGGGGAAAAATAGACTCTATCTCTTGATAGCAACAACTCAAAGTCACATTACAAAGGGTGTGGATACAGGGAGGGGTGGAATATTAGGATCATTTTTGCAACTGTTATACTACAACAGTCAATATTGTCCTTCAAACTTGCCATCTTTCAAAGCTTTATACCTGTTCCAGCAATGTACACACTAATTTAAAAAAAATAATTAGAGCCTTTCTCAGAATCTCCTTGTAAGGGGACTGACTTAATAAACCAATTAAGAAAATCAGTTTGTTCTTTATAGTCGTTCATTTTATCCAGCATTCTTGATTCTAGATAATTTTTGATGATTTTGAAATATCAAATACACGATAAAAGAATTTCAAAATTGACCTCCATCAAGGCTATTTAAAAGAATGTAGCTCAGACTTTGAAATCAATCCAAGTGAAGCATTCCAAAGTGTTTAAAACAAAAGCAGTATCACTGGAATAAATGGAGAGCATGACAAACTGGTTACTTTGAAGTGATTAACTATTTTGTGAATATTTTTTCTGGAATATTTTTTAAAGCCTTGCTTTAAATTAGGTTGTATAAATAAAAACCTCTTGATTACAGATAAATTTGGGGGTTCAGTATATCTTAATTGAATATCAAATTAATTTTTCTCCTAAAGGAGTTTAGTGTTGACTCTTATTTATGTTGCAAATTGCAGCAAATGGACTGGATTTTGTCTTCATTATGCTCTTTAGATAATGTTTTTGGAGAAGGAGCACATGTTTATTCTCATATCATCCCAGTTCAGTGTTGCTAACATAAGGATTTCTAAAACCTAATATAAGATACTGCTTTTGGTGGCCTTTTATTTATTTATTTATTTATTTTTTGCGGTACTCCAGTCCCGAAGTAGAGGGCAGATTCTCTTTGTCACTCACTAGGAGAGGCTGTCTTCTCTTCCCTTGATCTTAGAGTTCAATTTAGTGAAAGTCGACAGACTGGAGGAATGAGCGTAGATATGTCCGTGTGAGACTTGGAAAGCAACCTGGACGAAGGATGCTAGATCAGGTACCTGGGTTAGAACTGTCGGCTGGGTGTGTGTTCATGAATGTGCTACATGTATTTTACCCTGGCCCTGTTTCTGTGCCATCCCCAGCAGGTTTTTCTGGGACTTTACATTTGAGCTCAGTTGTACAATAGACTGGAGATTTGGAATCTTGGAATGTCAATATATGGGCAAGTCATTTAATTTTCCTGAATCCATCTGAATTTCCCCATCTCTAAAACAGGCATGAAAATACCTACTCACATGTTGCTTCAGGAACCAAATGAGACAAAGTAGTATAAATAATAGCCATAGGGCTTCCCTGGTAGTGCAGTGGTTGAGAGTCCGCCTGCCGACGCAGGGGACACGGATTCGTGCCCCGGTCCAGGAAGATCCCACATGCCGCGGAGCGGCTGGGCCCTTGAGCCATGGCTGCTGAGCCTGCGCGTCCGGAGCCTGTGCTCCACGACGGGAGAGGCCACAGCAGTGAGAGGCCCACGTACCGCAAAAAAATAAAAATAAAAATAAAAATATAATAGCCATAGCTTATGTTGATTGAGAACTTCCTGTGTGCTGGGCACTATTCTAAGGATTTCACCTGTACTCACTCATTTACTCCTTCCTGAAATCCTATTATTTCTGTTTTACAGTTAGGGGAACTGAGACACAGTCTTTGGAAACTCTTTGAAACCTCTAAAACACATTAAACAAATGTAAGCTATTGTCTTAATTCTCCCAATAGTATACGTTCCCCTATCAATTTGACCTAAGTCCAGCAAATGGCAGCATTCAAAATCTAAATCTGCGTTTTGCTCCATTTGTATCAAAATGTTCCCTTTCGCCCTCTAAGGTTTCCCGTGGATACCATGACGGTCACAGTGGTGTATGATAATTCAGAGGCAACAGAGCTCTGTGCGGCTCAGCACCTCTACCTCAAGCCCATAGCAAAGTTGATGATCAATGTATTGCTCCCTGAGAGCACGGAACCCATGAGGCCCTTCTCTAACTGGGAAGTTCTTGACCAGCTGAAGAGCCTGATTTGTCCTGACCAGTTCACCACAGTGCGGCTCTCCAAGAGCACTAAGGACTTCATCCGATTTGAGGGGGAGGCTGAAACTCGAAGTTTGGTTCAGATCCTGAAGGCCAAGTTACACGGGAAGATCATCAAGCTAAGCGGTTTGAAAACAGACTTAAGAGTAGTGGCCACAGATGCCCAGGGGGAGTGGGAACACTTCCCCAAAGAAAAGGGGGCTCCGTTGGCTGATGGGTCTGAAGAGCAGGACCACGATAAGAGCCCAGATTCCATATACTTCGAAGGCCTGCCCTGCAAGTGGTTTGCACCTAAAGGTTCCAGTGGGGAGAAGCCGTGTGAAGAGATCCTTCGGGTGGTCTTTGAAAGTTTTGGGAAGATCAAGAATGTGGATATTCCGATGCTCGACCCCTACCAAGAAGTCATGACTGGTGGGAGCTTTGGGGGGTTCAGCTTTGGCTTGCAGACGTTTGAGGCCTTTATACAGTACCAGGAGTCAACTGACTTTGTAAAGGCCATGGAGTCCCTCCGCGGGATGAAGCTGATGCTTAAAGGAGATGATGGGAAAGCTCTGGCATGTAACATTAAGGTAAGGAGCAGCCAGGGGCTTTTAAACAAAATTTCCCACTGTTCAGGTGGTCCTGAGTAAAAGCTAGGAGGAAGCATCTGCAACAAATTTCCTTAGACCCCAGTAGGCTCTGATCAGTAGCTAATGTAAAGATGTGTTATCGTTAATCAATGGATGATTAGGGGAAAAAATATCATCCTGATTTGAACATTCTTCTGCTATCAGCCATGCTGCCAGCTGTGGTTTGAAGGCGATGGTTGTTATAGTCTGGGGCTCTGCCCCAGCTTTTTGGGGGCATCAAAGGATTCTTCATGGTCCTTATGGAAGTATCTCATATACTTATTCCATTTGACAAGTTGCTGGGATAGAGGGCAACATGCAGCTTGAAACCACGAGGAGAGCAGTTTACTCCCTCTTTGCTACTGGGGTCACAATTTATTATATGTTCCTGTTGTCTGTCAGGTAAATTGCTAAAACAGAATCCCAACAAACCTGGATCCTTTCCTTTCAAAGTCAGCCTGTCTATCCAGGCATGTCACTTCATCACTGTCTGAATGCCTGGTCACCACCTCCTTCTTGAAGCCTTAATCCAGCAGAAGAAAAGATGCAGCTAAACCCTCCTTTTTCTCTAAATCAGTCTTTAGTGTGAATTTGGACTTCCAGCTTCGGTAGCTTCGTGTGTGTGTGTGTGTGTGTGTGTGTGTGTGTGTTAAAATATATATTTGAAAATTATGAGCTATTCATTCCGACAAAAGATATAGCAAATACTATAATGACCGCCCATGTACCACTGCCCAGCTTAAAAAATAAAGCATTACCAGTGATATGAGAACATGCTCCCCTCTGTGTACCATCCTCAGTCGCAGGCCCCTCCCTGCCCTCAAAGGTAACCATGACGGTGAATTTGGTGTTTATCACTCATGCATATTTAAATAGCTACTTCTCTCTCCATTTATTTTTTAGGCAAGTTTATTTGTAGCACCTCAATCTGACTTCCGCTTTATTTAGAGATTTGCAAAGTTGTTTAATAATCACTGTAGTCAGATCTTGTATGTCATTTGGTCAGTTTTCTTACATCTTTGCTCTCCCCCCTCCTCTCACCCATTTTTGGACTCTCTTAGTCTCTGGTGATTAAAAAAATACGTTAACTCAGTTAATCACTATAACAAACCAGAGGCAATATACTCACATCCCTTAGAACTTGCATCCATCGTGGCACCGTGATGCCGCCTATGGCTGTCAAGTGAGCTCCTCAAGGGTTCTGCCAAAGAAAATTCTAGAGCCCCACAAGGACTGTTTGGCAGGTAACAGAAGCAGTGGAACAGTCTGGGTGCTGGGATGCAGAGAAGGCATTTTTAATTCATTTGGTTTGGCACTGCCACGTACAAATTAGTTTTATCTCTCTGGCCTTCGACACACCCAGACACACCCAGCCAGCGGGCAAACTTTTCTAATGAAACTTTTTTTTTTTTTCTAATGAAACTTTGAATTGTTTGGGGGCAGGTTATGTTTGATACAACCAAACACTTCAGTGAAGGAGCTATAAGGAGGAGAAATCAAGAAAGGCTGAAATTACAAGAGCTGGAGGAAGAAAGGAAAAAAGAAAAGAAGAGAGAAGAGGAAGAGGCTGAAAGGTGAGGAGACCAACTTCAACGAAGAGGGTTTTTTTAAACTTTTGATTTATGGATTAATCCCTTCAGGTGAATGGCTGCGGGGAGGAGAAATTGGTACAGTCTTTCCACTGTGGTGTCACAAAACCAAAAGAGAAAGCAGTTGAAAGCAAGAGACTTAAAAAGTATGCTTGTCAGGAAGAACAAGTAATGAAGAATTGTGGGACCAGCCAGATTAAGATGTCTGGGAGGAAATGGTCATTAAAAAAAAAAAAAAAGACCAGGAACTTTTAGAGTGAAAATTCTAGCAGTTTACCTAAATTTACCAAAATTTACCTTGCCTATCAGTTGAAATTTGGGGGGAAAATTCTTTTTAGGTCTGGAAAAGATTTTCTCCCATAAAATGATCAATAATCAGTCTAACCCATAGGCCAGAAGGCATGGATTTGTTGAGACTATTTTTCTCGTTGGCCTAAGTTCTTTCTGTGAATTTGAGGAGCCTCTGTATTTACTTCTTTGAGTTTCTCATTGTCTCCCAGTTTAGGAGCTTGAGACTAGAAAGGGCTATTGGATCGCCAAAGGTTTGCTAAGAAGGGACAAATGGTCCAGAACCACAGGGCTCCCGAAACCAGTTTTACCTCCCAGCTCCTCCCCTTGCATGTTTATTCTTCCAGTCTTTTATGCAAATTATAGCCATTCAAAAGAGGAGTTTAAGAGTACCCTTCCATCTTCCTCTCACTTTTTTTGGCTGGCGGAGTGCCAGGAGTTACTTGAGGTCACGTCTGTGAAACCTGGCCAGAAGCTGAGCCCAGTCAAGGTAACGATTCCCCCCAAATTTCCAGATTGACCATGCAGTTTAGCTAATCCTCCAGTTTTTGGCTAAGCCCTCCCTCAGGCCACTGTCCTTTTTTTCCCCGCTTTTCCATGTTTCCTTGAGGGCCTACCCAAAACAGCTGAAATTTTCAGAAGATGGCAGAACAATAAGGCCGTATTCTTCTAAGCCAGTCTGTTCTTATGGTGGTGTACTCTGTTAAGTAGTATGCACCAAAGACCAGTTCTCACCTTTATTTTCTGAGTGCTTTGACTTACTGTCATTTGCCCCTTTGCCACCAACTCATGGAAGGTTTTGATCTCAAGAGAAAAGGAATCTTCGCTGTGAAAGCTGGATCCAGTAGCCCCTGCTGATGGTTTGAGAAGGTGGAGGCTAGAGGCCCCTCCTTTGAATTCAGTTGCCTTCTTTTTTTTTTTTTTTTTTTTTTTTTAATACTCTCTGCGTGAGGTCTCCTGTACATGTTTCTAACTCATCAACTTAGTTATGCGTTGTTGGGCCCGGCAGGGGGACTGGAGTGGGAAGGGCAGCAAATGACTGATAAATACCTTCTGAAGCGTTGACTCTGTTGATCATTATCCAGAAAGAGAAAAGAGGAGGAGAGGAAAGCCCAGGAAAAGAGGAGAAAAGCCAGAGTCAGGAGGCGCGCCCCGAAGGAAAGGGACAGACACCGGCAAAGGAGACGGAAGGGCAGTGCCAAAGCGGAGGCCCGTCAGGGTC